GCTGGATCAGTTCTCCACCTTCCAGCTGGTAGAGCCCTAAACCTGGCTCTGCCATGCCATGGTGGACCATGCCACAACCCCAAATCACCACTGGTGTGAGCAAAGCCAACCTCTTGGCATAGCAGACATGTGAATAGTGGAACTGTGTCGTCTTGACACTGGAGCAGATCAATCTGCCCACACACCCTCCTCCTCCCTGAACATCCCAGGCTCCTACATGGCATCAGTGTGGACTCCCGGGTGACAAACATTCCAGCTGTGAAGCATGAGAGGTCGGGAGCTGTTTCTCACACCGTGTCTTCACTTGCGGAGCCCAGGGGAAGACGGGCAGGTCCCTGCTTGCCTCTCCTGGCCACGTTTTAGAGTGCTGTGCTTGCAAACTGGCAACCTCAGCACCCCACCTTGCTGGTGGGGCTTCCTGGTCCCCAGCTATCATGCTGGTGGTAGCACAGGAGTCCCCAGGCAGTGCTGACCCTCTGCTGTGAGCCAGAGATAACAGCTACACCACAGCAGGTTGCAGCATGCACCCAGGCTGCTGCTGACACCAGAAACAGGGTTCCTGTTAATTACACCAGGGATAATTACATTTATACCGGTATAATAAGAGGGGGAGGGAAGGAGTCCTCCTGTGGTTGAAGTGTTAGTGGTTAAAACCCATGTATGCCAGTCAGTTTACTCGGGTTAGGAACAAAGAGGCAGGGAAATGGCACATGGGGACCTGCAGCCCTGTGGCTATGGGACTGAGCTGGAGTTTGAGTCTCAGCTCAGGATAAGCCTGATTCTTTCCTCCTCTTGGTTTGCAGCTGGTGCATCCTTTGGGGAGGATGCTCGGTACATAAGCCCATGCCTTTCCCCAGGTCCCAGCAATCAGAGGGTACATCACTCCCATCACTTTGGTTTTGCACCCATCCTCTTATTTTCAGAGCAGCGGGGGAAATGCTTCGAAACAAAACTGATGTGAACAATCACCCAAAACGGCCCCAGCCATGGTGAGTGTGGGCATTGCACCACAACCCACAGCCGTGGTGAGGTCTGGGGGCTTCACTTTGAACCCCTTATCCCCTGGACCAAACTGGTCCCTCCTTACAGCCACTGTCCCCTGCCTGGCCAAGGCTGCGATGTCATTATAGAGTCTGAGCACCTCTCCCTGCTATCCTGTGAAGAATCCCTGTGTCACTGTAAACAGGAAGGGCAGGAAGAAAAACGAGTTGATTTTCTTCCATCCCAACCCAAGCGAAGAAATGGCTGAGGAGCAACAAAGGATTAATTTACCCTGTGCAGAAGCGCCGGCTCCCTCCCGCAGCCGAGGGACCCTGGCAAGTCACAGATGTTAAGGAGTAAAAAAGCCGCTTTCACAACCTCAGACAAAGGCACAGAGATGCTTTTCAGGGACTCGAGTTGATCCATAGATCTGGCTGCCTGGTCCTAGGTGTGCCGACATAAATACTGCTGGTTCCAAGGGAATGGGAGTAGGCACGGGAGCAAGGCCGGTAGGACGCGATGGGTGAATGGGGACAATGCTGTTTTCGTGCTTGGAGGGAAGCCTTTGGTTGTAAATTGATTAAAGAACACATCCCAGGCCTTATTTCCATCCTCTGTTGTATTTCCTTAGCAAGGATGAATTCTCCAGTTCTCCAGTGGCCCTGCCAGACAGGATGTGGTGGCAACCCCAAAGGACGCTGTCCTGAAATTGCATTGCCCAGCAGCAGACTGATGGCATGGCTGGAGGAACCCTGAAACGCCTTTGCTGGAGCAAAGCAGCATCATGCTCTGGTCCTGCAGCAGAGCCAGCTCTCAATCAGCTGCCTTTTAGCTCCAGAGCCTCAGAAAGGGCTCAAGGACGGGATGGAGCCACTGCGGGCAGCTGCCCGGGCAGGAGAAGCTCCATTTTGTTCCTGCAAGTGGGACATGTGCCAGATGTGTTACACCATTCCTGAGCTCCTGTCCCTGCCCTGTTGCCATGGGACTCCTGTGTTGTTCCTGGCACTGGTGCCTCTTGCTCTGGGTGGTTTGGTTGCATTGCCGGGGCAAGCTGGGAGCAGAGAGGCTCCACTCTCACCCTTTGCCCTTTCTTACTCAGCAAACCCTCCTTTAGCACTCTGGATTCAAGCAAAATCACTCAGGATATGAGAGAGAAGAAAGGCAAAAGCCTTTCAAGCACCAGATCTGCTGTGGGCTCCTTCCAGCTTGTGCAGGAGGGGACATGGGGGTCTCACATCCCCATCTCCCTCATCCCTCTGCCCCAGGGAAGATCCAGCCCTAACTGGGCCATGGGTACCCTGGGAAGAACCTCATCTACAAAGCAGTAATTAAAGGCTGGATCCCAACGTGTGTGCCTCAGGGGGCTCAGCTGAGGTTGTAGATGTAACGGTGTAGGCACAGGAGTGTGCAGTGGGGGTAATGCTCATCCATACATGATAACATGCTGGGGTGTTGTTTTAACTGGGAGCAAAACAGGAAGCACGTCTTGAAGGTGCAGCGTGCAGATAGCTGTGCCCTGGGCAGGGCCCCAGGAGGCCACTGTGACAGCCCAGCAACAGCAACACGGCGTCACCAATGACAAGAGCAAAGTGGACAGCTCAAAGCCAAGAAATCAGATCTGGAGAAGCTGGAAGCAAAGGAGGAGTGGGGTTGGGGACTAGGAAGACCTTCTGGCTCACTGACCCCTTGCAAATCCACTGCTCATCCCCTGATGAGCATTGCAGCCCTGTGACTCTGCAGTCTGTATGTTCCCAGTAACAATATACATTTTCCATTGCATATACATATTCCAATAAATAGCTCTGTGCAGGGGAAGGATCCGATGATCTCGACGCTCTCCAGCCCTGTTTGCTCTGGAGATGTAAAGAGAAACCCAGAGCTTCCTTCCTGTCGATCTTCCAGTGCTGAGGAAGAGCTGGTGCAGCGCAAATGAGATACACAGAGCTGGTGGAAAGAGGTAGCTCCTCACAAAACGCAATCAGGCTAGAGGACTGCAAGAAGATGTCATGTGGACTGAGAAGGCAGCAAGCTTCCAAAGGGCTTACTCATGTAATTGCCTGTTGAGAAAATCCAGTGTTGATATACTTAGTGATAACAAACAAGCTGGAAAGCTTAATCAGCCTCTTGCTTCAGAGCTCTAATGATTAGAAGCTGGGATGAGATATGGTGTGGGGGATCATCATAGAACCACAGAATGGTTTGTGTTGGAAGGGACCTTAAAGCTCATCCAGTTCCAACCCCTGCTACGGGCAGAGACACCTTCCACTGGAGCAGCTTGCTCCAAGCCCCTGTGTCCAACCTGCCCTTGAACACTGCCAGGGATGGGGCAGCCACAGCTTCTCTGGGCACCCTGGGCCAGCGCCTCAGCACCCTCACAGGGAAGAGCTTCTGCCTCAGAGCTCATCTCAGTCTCCCCTCTGGCAGGTTCAAGCCATTCCCCTTGGCCTGTCCCTACAGGCCCTTGTCCAAAGCCCCTCTCCAGGTTTCCTGGAGCCCCTTCAGGCACTGGAGCTGCTCTCAGGTCTCCCCTTCAGGAGCCTTCTCTTCTGCAGGCTGCCCCAGCCCAGCTCTCTCAGCCTGGCTCCAGAGCAGAGCTGCTCCAGCCCTCGCAGCATCTCCATGGCCTCCTCTGGCCTCGCTCCAACAACTCCACGTCCCTCTTGTGCTGCTGCCCCAGAGCTGGATCAGGGCTGCAGGGGGGGGGGGTCTCCCCAGAGCTCAGCAGAGGGGTAGGATCCCTTCCCTGAGCTGCTGCTCACGCTCTGGGGGTGCAGCCCAGCACAGGGGGGGTTCTGGGCTGAAGCACTCAAGCTGGGTCATGGGGAGCTTCTCATTGACCAACACCCCACGTCCTTCTCCTCAGGCTGCCCCATCCATTCCCCAGCCTGTGGCTGTGCTGTGGATTGCCCTGACCCAGGGAAAGGACCTTGCACTTGGCCTCGTTGAACTCCATGATGTTCCCATGCTCCCACCTCTCTGGCCTGTCCAGGTCCCTCTGGATCCACCCCTTCCCTCCCGCATGTGTTTTCTGCTTTTCTACTGTTCCAAATTCCAGCTTTTTCTCTTATTTTACTACCAGGGAGGAAATCACCCACCCGGGCAGCGAGGGAGAATGTGGAATCTCACTGGGACACCAGAAAATGAAGCTCATGGTTACAGGTACAAGCTGGGTACTAAAGAGCCCACATAGGCGAGTGGGAGCATTAAGAGGGAGGGGAAAAAAGGGGGCCAAAAGTAAAAAACCCACCAGATTTTAATCGATTCAAGTGCAGCAGGAAGGGAAATGCCCCAGAGCAGGACAGCATCAGCTGAAACCTTCCTTTGCCTTTCGTAGTTACAGAATAGAAAAGAAATCCTCGTTCACATTACAAATACAGTCCTGTATAAAAACAAGCCAACAGAAAAGGGGGGAATAAGGAAACCCAAAAGGTCACGGCACCAGTGCCTGGCTCCCCCGAAGCTCAGGAGGGAGGGCAGCTCCTCTGAATGAGTTAGGATGATTCCAGGCTTTTCCTTCTGCTTCCTGCCAGTTTGGAGAAGGGTTTTGAGCAGGAGGGTGACTGCTCCCATCCCACCCCATCGCATCCCGCATCCCAACCCGCGGCAGGTCAGTGAGAGCATCCTTGGTCCTGGAGAGGAAAAGCAACCCCGGAGGTGGTGTTGTCACCGGGGCTGGGCAGCGCTTGGGGCTGGGAATGTGTTTTGGGGATAGGGGGGAATCTGTTGCCTGAAAAACATTGTTTTCCTTGGAAAAACTAAGGGAAAGGGTGGAAAAATTATTGCCTGTAGAGTTCGCAGCTTGGCTGGAGGCGATGGAAGGGCTGGTGGGGGATGCAGCCAAATCCAGGGGGATTTGGGCCTGGGCAGCTTCGGCTGTTGGTGCTTCCCAGCTGCTTCTTGGGAAACACAAAAAATATCCCTAGATACCCCCTTGGATGGGAGGACAAACCCCTGGGAGGCAGAATTCACCCCACCCCACCCCCTGCTGCTTACAGGTGCCAAGGGTGGGCTTGGAGCCAGGAGACACCACATCCCACCTCCGAGAAGCAAAGGAGAAGGAGGAGGTTGGGAGGAGCTGGGATGCTTCATGGAACTTCCTTTTCCTTCCAACTTCCTCTGAGACTTCCCAGCTCCTCTCCATCGCTTCCCAATGGATCTTGACCATTCCCCCCTCCCACATCACCATTCCCCACATCCCGATGTCGCCCTCCTGCTGCTGCCAGACCTGATGGGGTGGATTAGCCCCTAAGATCCCACAGGGATGGAGGGACCGGGGTGGGTTGCGAGGCCCCAGGGTGCCCTGGGGTGGGCAGAGCGCTGCTGAAGGCACGGTGTCGGCCGGGGGGGGGGGGGGGTCATGTTCAGCCACTGCTCAGGCACTTCAAATTAATACAAATTAACCAAACCCAGTAATTAAAAAGGAGAAAACCAACCCAAACATTCATGAGATGTGTTAAAACAGCCGGAAAGGGGCTGTGTCAAAGCAGCGTCAGTATTGCCAACTTTGACCCCCCCCAAAAAGGTGGGAGGGATGGGGGGGTCTCGCAGGGGGATTCGGTGGGCTCTGTGTCCCCCCCATGTCCCCAGGCAGGGGGGGGAATTGAGGCAAGATGCTGACAGCCGGATCCAGCTCCTGATGGCAAAGGGGATCATCCCGGATTGAACCCCTCTGACACTGTTCCATCCAGTCAGGGAGCTGGGAAATTCCTTCTGGGAGCAAAACCCCTGGTTTTGGGGGCCAGCCCGACTCCCAGACCTGGAATTTTGGGCAAGTGTCCCAGCCCTGGAGAATGAAGCTGGTCCCTGTTCCCAAAGCACTGTTCATCCCCACCCCTGGTCCCAGTTTGCTCCAAACCAGCTGGGTTTTGCCCCAACCCTGCTCCAGCCCCCTCCTTCCTGGAACACCGGGAAGGGTGCTGCTGCTCCAAGGGAAAACCAGGCTGGGAGAAACAGAAGACGACGGTGTCCAGTGGGTGATGCCACATCCCTGCTTGTCCCCATGTCCCATCCTGGCGAGGCTTTGGGAGCATGAGAGGGAGGACACAGTGCAGGGGGGTCCACCTGTATCCAGACCCCCACTCCCCATCCTGCTGTGGGTGCCTGGTTTGGGCTCAGAGGCTTCCCAGCTGGATGGACGTGCAGCTCCCGGCTCCATCCTCAGGGGTCTTGCAAGGTGCAGGGAGGGGATGGATGTCTTGGCATCGTGTTCCTCCCCCCCATTCTGGGGGTCGTGTCATTGGGTGTGGGGCAGTTCACTCTCAGGGGGTCCTACGGCCTCTGGCTCCCACGCTGGGCTGGGGCTGGATCCAGGGCAGGTTACCCGGACCTGGGGGGGGAAAGAGGAGACGCGTTAGGGGTGAGACCCGAAGCATGGAATCACAGTCCCAGCCTGGGGTGGGTTGGAAGGGCCCTTAAAGCCCATCTGATAAAGAGCATCACTGGGGGACCTGGCTCAGGGAGGGCAGGACACCCACATCCATCCCCATCACGTGTGTGCTGCCACCCTCGGGGTGACACCATCCATGTCCCCATCCCGGGAAGCTCTCACCCCACCGTGCCCTGCTCACGCTGGAGGGCTGTGGTGGTGGTGGGGAAGGACCGGCTCCATGCAGTGGGGTGCAGCACCCATGGGTGCTCACCCATGCACTGGGGTGGGCGCACGAGAGCCTGTGTGTGCCCAAAGGTGCAGGGAGGCCTGAACAGCATCATAGATGCATTTGTTCCACCACAGCTCTCTCACTGTAGGCCCTGCCCTTGAGTTTGCATAGAAGGCTTTGGATATAATTAATTCCTGGCACCCAACAGGAGGCAAATCCCTTTGGATTTCACAGCCTTATCTCGTTTCAGCCTTTATCTGGTTAAGCTTAATGGGGAAGGGAGCAGAGAACAGGGAGCTCACCTATCTGCAGAGCTGCCTGTGGGGCTCAGCAAACACAAAGCAGCAAACAAGGGCATGAACCCCCCTAAAACTGCCCAATCCCAGCCCTGATGGAGACTCTGGTCTTTATGGTGAGGCAAGGAGGATGCAGACCCACATCTTTTGGGTTATGATGGTGCAATGAGGGACCTTGGAGGCGCTCCTGCATCCCAGAGCATCCCCAAGGCTTCCCAGCCTGGCACAGACTCACGTGTAGAGTGGCTGTAGCTGTAGGTGTGATGTCTTCTGTGGTGCCTGGTAGCCATAGGAGTCGAACCCGCCAATGAAGTCAACTGGAGAGAAGGGCAGAGGAGCGAGGTGAGCTGGGGAGGGTGGTGGGGACACTTCTCTGCCTCCCCCCCCTCTACCAACAGCACCCATGGGTAACGCAGCATCCTGACTTGCAGCAGGATGCAGTGGTGTTCTGGGCCCCTGCAGCACCCCAGGATCACTGAATCCCAGCCTGGTTTGTGTTAAAGGGACCTTAAAGCCCATCCAGCTCCAATCCCTGCCACGGGCAGGGACACCTTCCACTAGAGCAGCTTGCTCCAAGCCCCTGTGCCCAACCTGGCCTTGAGCACTGCCAGGGATGGGGCAGCCACAGCTTCTCTGAGCGTCCTGTGCCAGCGCCTCAGCACCCTCCCAGGGAAGAGCTCCTGCCTAAGAGCTCATCTCAGTCTCCCCTCGGGCAGGTTAAAGCCATTCCCCTTGGCCTGTCCCTACAGGCCCTTGTCCAAAGCCCCTCTCCAGGTTTCCTGCAGCCCCTTCAGGCACTGGAGCTGCTCTAAGGTCTCACTGGAGCTTCTCTTTTCCATCCTAGGTCATGGCACCATCCCAGTCCCCACAGCATCCTAGGGAAGTGCTGCTTCCCAGGTCTTGGCAGCAGCTGTGGTCAGAGCAGCATCACAGGGACACACAGTATCCTGGGTCACAGCAGCATTCCAGGCCTCAGCAGTGTCCCAGGGAAGTGCCATTGAGAGGCAGAGGAAAGGAGCTGGACTGACACGCAGAGATCCCTGTGGCTTTTCTCATCACAACAGCTCTTGCATTGCAGGCTGGACAAAGTGGGCAAAATTACCCTGTCATTGCCTCCAGAGTGGGCATTCAAGGAGAATTATGGGGGAATTACCTCTCCTTTAAGGCCTGTCATTTAGGGAATTGCAGACACCCATGGATCAATGTTCCCTGGTGCGATTTCCAGCCTGGTGGCTCCTTGCCCTGCATCAACCACCTATCGAGCCCTTGGGTGCTCACTGGAGGAGTCCTGGTGGCAAATCCCATCCCTTCACCATAGCTGGATGCAGTGGGAACTATGGGGGGACCTCAACATCTCCCCCGATCACCCCATGTGGCCCCAGACCTGAACCCTCCACCAGCACCCCCAGGCTGTGGTGTCTGAGCTGCTGCAGGAGCCACAGCACAACCCATCTCTCCAAACCCAATCCATTCATCCCCATGGAGCAATGAGCTGGGTGGGTTCGCACAGGGGTGTCCATTAAACAGCAGCGTGCTCAAAAGGGGAAGCAAATTGATCTTCCTGACTCAGCATTCAGCCCGCTCTCGGTTTTGACACCATCCATCCATCCATCCATCCATCCATCCATTTCCAAACCTAATATGATATTCCATTGAAAATGTGCATTTGAATCCTGGGCTCCAGCAGCATTAATATTAAAAGTGTATCGAACGCAGGAGCTGTTTGAATGCAAACACGCTCCAAAACCGGCGGCGCTGGATAAACCTTTTTGCCAGCTTCTTGGATACAGAAACAAGTTATTCCCGCCAGCAGTGGCCACTTTCACATGGAGATTTTCCTTTTCCACTACGCTGGTTCCCAGCAGGCAGAAAACATGGGGATGCTGCACGCCGGCATCACCTGGGATGGGCTGGGAGCATCCCTGGCTCTGTGGCACCATCCTGATTCCAAGGCAGGAGCTGGATGCTGGGGTGGCTTTTGCCATAGGGGCCATTGCAGAGCATCCCTGCCTGTGGTGGCTGCTGGGAGCTGCCAGCTGGCAGGAATTCATTAACAGCAGATGAGCATTTAATGTGGTTGGATGGCTCCAGCCTTCACAGCCTGGTTAATTGGGGTGCTCAGTGCTTCCGGACGGGGGTTTGCTGGGATCTGATTGGAAAGCACAATGTAGTTCCTATGAAAATCAGCCTGTAACAATCTTAAATTGCTGATTCCCTCCCTGTTTTGGGTGAAACCTGTTTGGGTGATGCTATCCATGGGGATGCTGGCTGGGGACACACATTCCCTTGTCCCTGAGCCCCAGGTGGCTCTCAAAGGGGTTGGCAGGCAATGGATGGAGATGGGAGCAAGGCTCTCCCACAGTGCCCTGACGCCGGATCCACACCAGGAGGAGCATCTACCATGAACATATCAAAGCACTGTGGTGGATCTTTGCAGCAAGGGCAATTCCCTGCCCCTGCCACACTAGAGCAGGGACCTGGAGGAGATGCTCTGAATTTGGGTCAGTGGGGAGCAGCGAGAGGGATGCCGAACCCAAACCTGGCCACACTATAGGGGTGAGCTTCCTGGCTTCAGTGGGACCTGGACTTGGGAGACTGGGCACCATCTCAGCCTCTTCATGGGCTGCTGTGGGGCCAACACCCAGCCCCATTCATTGGATGAAACTGGTCCCATTCCTGCACCCAGTCCCATGGGAGATGCAGCAGCTCAGGGCTCAGCATTCCCAGCCCTGTCCTCTGTCAGCCCTGGCCATGGTGCAGCACCCTCCCCAAGGCTGAGGAGGGCAACTGCACTGGTGGCACAGGGTGGCACATCACACCCCAGCCCATCTGCCTCAATGGGGATGGGAAAATGGGGCAAAACCCCCAACTAAAGGTATTCCTTCACCTGTGACCCAGGCATCATTCCCCATCCCTGGCTGGGAGCTGCCACCCCAGCAAGACCCTGGTTGGTGTCATCAGAGGCTGTTGTGCAGCTCTCCCACCCCATGACAGGTATCAGGAGCACTTACAGCTGTCTTCTTCCTCCAGGAACACTTTGCTGACGTAGCAGGCATAGACAAAGCCAAAGAGCTGCAAAACAGAAGCAGTCGGTCACTGGGGTGATGGGCAATGGATCAGCATGGAGCCTGGTGCTGCGAGGGGATGCCTGGAGCATCCCAAGGGCACTGGGAGCATCCTGGGTAGGATCAGTGCCTTCTCTGGGTTAGTGGTGCTGGAGCCCATCTCCAGTGGGTGCTGGTTTGGGATGCAACAAGACTGGACGGTTTCAACTGCACTATGGGAACAAGGGTGATGGCCCAGGATGGGTGCTGAGCCCCATGCAGAACCTGGTGGGTGCACGGCAGCTGCTCTGGACCCCAATTCCCTTTCAAGCTTTATTTCCTTGCAGCCCCCAAGGCTCCAGAGGAGTTTTGCATCCAGGTGCGTCCCCTTCCCACCTCCCCATGGGACGAGACAGCCCCTGGGATGTGGGGATCACCCCTTGTGCCAAGCAGCGCATCCCAGGGGCTCATCCTCCAGCAACACCTCTGTGTGGATTACACCGAGAGCTCCCCAATCCCTGCAGCACCCAGCCCACAGCCTGACAGGCTTTAGGGTGAGCAGCACCCCGGGGCGCTCTCATGGGCTCATTGCCCTCGATGCTATAAACAGGCACCGATGCACACCGTGGGACATCTCCAGCTCTGCCCATCCCAGTCCCTGCCGTCACCCCCTTCTCCCACGGCATGATTTGGGATTGGGGATGAGGAGGAAAGGAGCAGTGCTCACCGCCAGGAAGATCTGCGTGGCGCTGCTCACCACCTCGATGTACTGGTAGTCGAGCAGGCAGCCGCTGACCGTGATGACGTGATGGTCCTCGGGCGCCAGGTTGGAGTTGAGCACCGGCGTCACCAGGCAGCCCGGCCCGTTCTCCATCCACCACGAGCGGTGCAGTGAGGTATTGAAGGTCATGATGAAGTCTCGGTCCTGCGGGAGGGGAACGCAGGAGGAGGCACAGAGCGTGGAGCTCGGGGGCTTTGCAGAGGGGTTGGGCAGAAAATGGGGTTTTCCAAGCCAAGGGTGCTCCGTGAGACCCAGAGAGTGCTAGCATAGTGCAGGGCATCTCCCTAGCCTGCAGCCAGCACCCAGGGTTTGTGGCTTCCTCCTATGCTGGTGTTCATACACCAGAGGGAGAGAATCCCCTTCCTCGACCTGCTGCTTGAGAGGCAGAACCATGGGACCGTCCCTCCAGCATGGTGCAGCAATCCCATGTTTCTGCTTGCTAAAACAGCCTCAAGTGTCCTGGAGCCACATGGGAAGATGGTTTCATCCATCAAGTCCCCTGAAAAGCCCTTCTCCCCACTGTGGGCAGCTGGGACCTATGTCCTGAGCCCTCTGGGATGGCATCCTCAGAGCAGGGTGCATCCTCAGCATGGGTACACCAACTGTGGGCTGGGGATGCTCAAATCACCTAATGATGCATCATTACATGGAGTTTTCACTACATGAAGTTTTGCTCTTTTCCATGCACGAGCTCTACTTTAATAGCCATGGGAGGGAAGGAAAGGCAAGGAAAGGAAGGGGAGGAAGAGGAGGAGCTTTACCTGTGACAGGCGTCCAACCTCCAGGTAAAAGCAGATGATGAAGGCGTTCCAGCCGACCCACAGCACCAGCCACACCGCGTACTGCCAGGAAGAGAGATGCTCAGGGAATGCCCAATGGACACCCCCTGCTCCATCCCACCTCCAACCTGCTCAATAGATCCCATGGGACCCACAGCTCTGGATACAGGGCGGGACCTGGGGCTGAGCCATCCCCAGGGGGGATGATGCTGTACGCAGGAGCAGCATCCGCGGTGGTACCTACCACCATGAGGTATTTGGATCTGTACTGGATGGTCCCAAAAATGCCCAGGATGACGGCCATGATGTGTAGGAAATTAGCCAGGATGGGGGCCCATTGGTAGCCCAGGAAATCAAAGATCTGCCTCTCCAGCGCTGCCACCTGCAAGAGAGCATGGGAAGGGGCAGGTATGAAAGCATCGGTCACCACAGCATCCCGGGATGCTGGAGGCAAAGAGCAGCTGGTAATGAATGGGAATTCCTATGGATAATTGGTTGCAATGGGCTGAAACATCCGTGTGATGCCTTGGCTGGTGGGGGGTGAAAACATGGGGGGGAGTGAGGGGTTACTTGGAATATCTGGAGCTAGAAGGGGAAAGCAGGAGATACCAGCTCGTACCCACCAGCACCCTCCATGCCTCAGTGTCCCCATTGCTCAGGTCTTGGGCACTGCTTTGATCACCCTTTGGGGTGGGTTTATCCCTGGAATCAGCCTGCCCAGGGGGGAACCTGCTCAGCTCATGCACGATGCCCTGGGTACCAGCCCTCCCATTTAACACCACTGGGGTTTGATTGCTGTTATCATTGATAATCCATAAATAAGGACTTGATGCAGCTAAATAAATCACACAATGCACAAAATCAGGGCCGGTGGCTTCGGATGGAACCTGCCTTTACCTCAGCACTTACTTACGGCTTTATTTATACCAGCTCAGGGTCTATTACTCTTAATTACAGGGTTAGCTCAAAGCGATGTGGTAGCAGAGGTGATGTGGGAGCACTGGGGCATTTGTCAATGGTAAAAAATGGAGATTGGATGAGGCTTTGGGGGTTTTAGGGAGTTTTTAGGGCTCTTGAGGGCTGAGCTGCAGCATCCGTATCTCCAGCAGCTTTGCAAACCAAACCAACTCTTACATTTACCTTTGTGAGAGCCCAGCCCCATCTCCTCGCTCTTTGAGGTGCCCCAGATTCACCCAATAAACCCTCCAGGGCCCCAGGTCCTCCCTGCAGCACCGTGCCTCAGTTTCCCCTCCCAGGGCAAGGCCCTTCATCCTGGCAGGGAACTGGGAGCTTATCCTGCAAATCACAAGAGAAAATGGGCTTCGCATCCCCTGCTGCGCTCACCAGCACACAGCGAGCTGGGCTGGCCTTAGGGGAGCTCCATCCCTGCGCTTCTTGAAGCTCCCATAGGAAAATGAGGGCCCTGCAGCATCCTTGCCCAGCCACAGCTTCTCTGGGCACCCTGTGCCAGCGCCTCAGCACCCTCACAGGGAAGAGCTTCTGCCTAAGAGCTCATCTCAGTCTCCCCTCTGGCAGGTTAAAGCCATTCCCCTTGGCCTGTCCCTCCATCCCTTGTCCCAAGCCCCTCTCCAGGTTTCCTGCAGCCCCTTCAGGCACTGGAGCTGCTCTAAGGTCTCCCCTTAAGGAGCCTTCTCAGCAAAGGCAAGGACTGCTGGATCCCATTCCCTACTCTGTCACTGGGATCCATGCTGGCAGGACCCCAGTCTCAATTGAAGGTGATGGAAAGCCACAGAGCAGCCGCCGGGTCCGTGGTGCCGTGACTGAGGCTGTTTGCATTGAGCTTAATTCACTTCCACAGTATTTAAACTCTCTGAGGAAACAGCCTTTGGAAATAACAACGGGGCTGTAAATCCTTTAAATTGAGGGATATAAATAATAGATGATAACAGGGAATGTGGTACCCCGGGGGGGTTAGAGCCATCCATCGAGCTGGTGGCTGTTGACAGAGCTGCTCAGCAGGAGCTGGATGCGAAGGCTGGGTTTTGGGTACCGGTGTGTCTCCGAAGCGAGGGAAGGGACTCTGAGAGCATCTCATGGAGCTGGAGTGATGGATGGCACCTGGACGGCTCCTTAATTCCAGCCCATTGAGCCAGGACAAGCTGGGAAGAGCCTGGTCAAACCACATCCTTCAGCCCAAGGAGAGGCAAAATGAGGAGCAAACACCACGGTGTCCTCGAGGATGAGCAAGGGCTCATCTCAGGCTTCAGCTGGGACATTTGGGGGCAGAATTAGGGGTTTGCACAGTTTTACTATGTGGGCAAAACACCTTTTTTTGGGGGGGGGGGAGGAACATCCCTTTTGGGGGGATGGAAACTCCTGGCTCCCTAGGATGTGGCAGGAGCAAACCTGCCCTTGTCCTTCTGAATGTCTTCACCAAACCACCCAGGCAAGGGCAGGGGATGTTCCCCCCTCATTTTTCATGGAAAGAGTCCAAAACAGGCAGGAAAAGGCTCCATTCCCCCCCCCCCCAAAAAAAAAACGGATGTTTCCCACTGAAAACACTGTCCCTAAAGCCTGAAGAGCCCCGAGCATGCGGCTGCAGTTCTGCCCGCTGTCAGCGGGGCAGGAGCAGGCAGCGCAGGCAGGATGCTCCCGGCTGCCCCTGCCTGCAGCATCTGTGCATCAAGCTGAACTAAAGCCTCTGCCCTCCCCTGGCAGGAGCGGAGCGGTGCCCCCCGATGGGATATTATCCTTCCCCGGGTGATTCCCTCCCGAACACCATATGCCCGAGGCTCGCCGGGGATTTAACCTTTCATTTCGCTGCGTTTTGAAGAGGTTTGGGGGTTTATTCTGCCTTGAATCCAGTCTGAAGACACTGCGGGAGCATCACTGCCCCCGCTGCTGAGCCCAGCCTGAGGGATTGGGGCAGAAATGCCCCATTCTAGGAGTCTGGGGCAAAAATGTACCGGGGTTCAGGGAGAAAACACCCCCCAGCAGAGCTGGAAATCAGCATCCGGCCCTAAGGGGATGCCAGGTGCTGTTGGTCCCCATGAGGGATGTTTCCCATAGCCCAGGCCTGGATGTCCTTGCAGCAGGTCATAGAACCAGAGAATCATCACAGCCTGGGTTGGGTTGAAGGGACCTTAGAGCTCATCCAGTAAAGAGCATCCTTGGGCAAACGAAGCTCCGGGGGCTCCCAGATCCTGCCCCCATCCCCAGGAGGAACAGCCAAGTCCAGCTCCCATCCTGCTACAGGCACCACACCACCCTCAGCACCCTATTGCAGGCTCTGCCACCATTCATTTTGATGCAGTTTACGGCATTTTGCTCATTTTCCCTTTGCCATTGGAGGTGTTTCCATCATGTGGTTCCATTCCCAGCTCCGCCCGGCTCCACTTTGGGGAACAGCTGCGATTGGAATGAGCGAATTGACTATTAAGGAGGTGCAAACACCGCTGTGAACCCGGGGACTTCAGTTAATGACTTGGAAACAAGTTCTTGACCTACTTCCAACTTGCAAAAGCCTTCGTGAAATCACAGAGAAAGAAATTAAAGGGGCCAGAGCCTTGATTGCTCTGTGCTATGGGGTGGAGATGAGCAGGATGCGGCCCCTGGCCTAGAAGATGCTCTGAGATGAAGCAGTATGAGCAAAAAGCAGGGTGAAAGAGGCACAAATTGGGACCTTCCTCAGCTGTTGCAACCTCAGTGGGTTTGGGGGGGGGTTCTGGCCTTTGCAATGCCCCTTTTCCCCCACTCCCAATGGATTTAGGAGCTCATGGAGCAGCCCAGATCTCCAGGATGCAGCTGCAAGTGCTGGGGGCACAGGCAGAGATGTAGTGGAGGGGTGAGATTCCTTGCCACAGCTCCCCATCAACCCCCCCAGCGCCCAGCACCCATCCCCCTGGGCTTTCCTTCCTCTCGCCTGTGTTTTCCCACCCCCATTCCCCTTTATTTCATTTCCCTGCATCCGGCAGCGTTGCCATGGGAACACGGCGGCTGGATGCGCTTGTCTAGACGCTGCACCCCAGGAGCCCGCCGCCGGCATCCCCCACCATGGGCTGGGTGCGAGGTCACCCCCTGCATCCCTATGGCTGCATCCCCTCCAAGCTCCTGGCTCCATCCATCCCTGGGGGTTCCCTACAAGGAGGGCTGGGAAATGCAGCTTGGGGGTGGATAATGGGGATAACAGTAACCATCATCACCATGGAATCATTGAATCCCAGGCTGGCTTGGGTTGGGAGAGACCTGAAAGCTCATCCAGTTCCAACCCCAACGCTTTCCACTAGAGCTGGGCCCATTGCTCCCAAACCTGGAAGTTTTGGGTGGATTTGGCTCTGTCTGGCTCCGATCTCCCCAGCAAGGACTGCAGGGGACTGTTATCCCTGGAGGAATGTCAACAGGGGTTATCTTTCCCAGCAAACATCACAGCTTACCCCGTGAGGAGGCTGCTTCAGCTCTAACGCAATGCCACATCCATTTAACTTCCATCCAGGATTCCATCTCTTATGTCCACTGTCCTATAAGTGCTGAGACGAGACTTTCTGCTTTCCCTCCTCTCCCAGCAAGGGAGTCACTTTTCCATGCCAGGGGAAGCCAAAGAAATCCAAGCAGCTCAATTCCCCTATTGCCTGTCAGAGGCTGAAGCCCCAAGGTCTCTGGTGCTGGCTGGGAAGGGTTGATCCTGCACTGCCCGGGTGCTGTGCCATGCCTCAGTTTACCTGGGAATTGGGCCCAAGTCCCATTGGCCCCGCTCAGCACCACACTGGGAGCATTTGCTCTCTTGGTTAGCTCCATCAGTGTAGGTCTAATGGGGAAACTGAGGCACGGAGGGATGGTGGAGGAGACCAGAATCCCAAGCCTTGGAGAATGGCTGTGCCTTGAGGACAATGGGTTGGGAGCTGCTCCAAAGCCACCAGTGCAGGGCTGGGACTGCTGGGCTGGCTCGAAGAGATGGGATACGGGCTGAGTTACAGCCATCAGGCTAAATTAAGCCACAGTTCTCCCTGGAGATGCTGAGTGGAGCTGCATCCCTGACCCCAGCACAGCATCTCTGGTACCCGGACTGGCTGCATCTCTCCGGTGCCGGTTTTCCCATGGGATGCAGTGGGGAAGGGGATATCCCCCACTGCCCATGGAAACCCCAACACTCACCCAATGTCTTGTCCTGTGGCTGAGGGGGAAGAAGGAAGCTTGAAGGAACCAGCGCTCCAGCAGGACACCCATGGGATCCTGCCCTGCTCTGTGTGGAGAAAGGGGCTTGGAGCTGGGAATCTTGGGCTGAAACCTGGGAGAATTTGGGCTTAGATCTGGGGACCTTGGGTTTAAATTTGTGGGATTTTTGGCTTAAATCTGAGGATCTTGGGCTTAAATTTAAGTGGTCTTCATGTGAGATTTGGGGAGTTTGGGGGATGAATTTGGGGG